AGAAGAGCATGGCCTTCTCCTACGAGAATAAAGAATCCTGCCTCGCCGCCTCCTCTAGGCTTGACATTTTATTCTAAGAATTGAATACATTGCAAATATAATGTCCAAGGGAGGGGTAGAAACTTCAGGTAAGTGGCCATCATTTACAATTTACAGTAGTTGAACGACCTGAAAATAAGTTTTTGAGGGTAAGTGAAGATTGTGGGAACCTGATCTCTGTGAAAAGGGAAGGATGGTGGCCTGACTTTAGTCCCAGAGCCGGGATGTAGGAGACAGTAAAGACACGTGTTGCCTACTCCCCAGGTCTGCCCTGGATCTGCCTTGTCCTCAGTTACGGTGAAGCCCAGCCTGGTGGGTGGTCTGTGCGACCTCTCTGGGTTCAGGCGGAGGAGAAGTGGCAGGAATGGGCTCAGGGGGTGGTCAGTCACTTAAGCGCTGTAGTACCAGTGGGAAGATTAAGACAGGACAGAAAAACAGCCCAGATTTTCTCGTTGCTCTGGTTCAGTGCTGTCCAGGAGAACTCCCTGCAGTGTTGGAGATCTATCTGCCCTGTCCATTATGGTAGCTACAAGCCACAGGTCGCTACCGAACACCAGAAATGTTGCTGTTGTAACTGAAGAACTGAATTTTAAATTTGATTTCATTACAATTAAAATTAAAATAGTTGCAGGTGGCTAGTGGCTACCATACTTGGACGTGCAGTTTATGGGCCAACGTTAGTCTGTACACCAGAGTCACTCACTGGCTGGCAGCTTGTGGGCTGTGTAGACACACTCAGTTTGCACAGTTACAAAAACAAACAAATCTGTTTAGTGGCCAGCATTTTTAAAAATATGTTGTTTCATTATTAAGTAATGGAGATGCTGGGGATTGAACCTGGGACCTCCTGCATGCTAGGCATGTGCTCTACCACTGAGCTATGCTGTCACTGCCCTTGTTGCCAACATTTAATAATTGGAACATTTCAAGTGAAAAACTGAATTTCTGGCTTCTTTGGAAAATATCAGGATATCTGGCAACACCAAGCCAAGCATCCGCCAAGGCACCAACTACCCTGAGCTTGTCAGCTGTATTTTGCTTTTACTTTATACACCTCCGCCCCTTTTCCTCATTTATTTGATCTGCCCGGCTGTCACAAGGGCTTGAGGATCCCTATTTGAAAAACAGTATTTCAGTTTCCCCTTTATGAAAACCGATGAATTAAACTCCTAACTTGCAGGCACCTCTTACAAATATTGGGTAAAAGCTGCCTCTCTCAGACTGACTGAAAAAGGGACCCAGGTCCAGGAAAGTGGTAGCTTCAAACTCTGTCAGAGCGGGGTTGCCTGCTGGATGTATCATGTTCTAAGGGGACTTTGGGGACAGTCCTTTGCCTCTCAGAAACTCAGTTTCTCCATCTGTAACGTGAAGCTCATAATGGGAGCTGCCTCGTCGAGCTGTTACGAAGTTTTTCTGTAATGAGGTATAAGAAGCTTAACGTTAGAAAGTAACATTTTCATTTAAGTTATAATTTTCATATTTAGACAGCATCGATTTTGAGAGAAGCTGGGGAGAACTAAATGGTGCATGGAAAAAAGTGCACTTTGTTGTTGTTGTTGTTAATAGCAGCCTACGCAGAGGAAAGAAAAGGTTCTTTTCATTGGTTTTCTGGGTTAAACTCGGCGGTCATTATCTAAAATACCCCACAGGATAATAACTGCGCTTTGAGCCTGTCAAGATGAAATTGGCTCATTAACACACTTTTCCTTGCTTAGTGGCATCATTAATTTGGGATCTGAAAGGAACCAAAAATAGAAAAAGAAATCAAATGCAGATGGAACTTAACACCGTCACAAGCCCTTAAACACGGGGCAACGAATGTAAGTTTGAGCAAACAAAGGAAATTGGGAAGGAAGAAGTGAAAATGATCTTCCTGAAAGATGCTATGAGAGGAAAGAATATGTATCAACAGAGGCACAAAAAACAGTGACAATCACAAACTGTCACAGAAATCCAATGGCAGATAAGAAAAAGACTTTACATTATAGACTATGTCTGCATCATCAGGAGTGCTGGCCAGCAGAACGTGTCAAACTTTCAAGGTTACTGAGTTTTGGAAAATGGTAGGAGTCTAAACTTAAGTGACTGTTATCTTGGGATATTTGGTTATGAAAAAAACGCTTAGGAAACAGGCATTTAAGCATGAGATGAATGCAGGGTGGTGGGAACAACCAGTCAGGACTCTGCTCTCAAAGAGTTACCATCACATTGGAAAGGTACAAGAGAACGGAGGTTAAAATCTGGGAGATGGAGAATGACTGGTGAATTCAGAGAAGCACTGCAAATCTTTCCTTTTTAAAATTGAAATATAGTCAGTTTACACTGTGTCAATTTCTGGTGCATTCATAGTATTTCAGTCACACATATACACACATATATTCCCTTTCATATTCTTCCTAACCATAGGCAATAAGATATTGAGTATAGTTCCCTGTGCTATACAGTATAAAGTTGATTATCTATTTTATATTAGTTAGTATCTGCAAATCTTGAACGCCCAATTTATCCCTTTTAAAAGGAATAAACATTTTACTTTGTGTGCTAAAAATTTGAGGATAATCAATAAAATAATAGAATGTAGAAAATAGTAAAGGGGGCAAGGCAATAAAATAAAACTTGGTTAATCAAATGTAAAATTTGATAGGAATGAAAGAAGCCAAGGAAATCGCTAATGAATAAAGGTACTCTTTAGTTTGTTCAGTTACATTTTTGAATTTTTTTCTGTTGCATTTCTTTTCTTTTGTTCTTCAGCAATACCAAACGTACATATGACGAACTGTGCTGCCTGTCTTCCATGTCTTATTTTTTGTTTTTACTCAGTTTTCTCAAGTGTGTTATCTCGCATCTCTGCCTGTGTTTTCAGCAATATCTGCTATTCTTTTATTTTGCTCTCCATTTGGACGTGGCTTTTGTGATGGTAATATTCCTGTCCTTCACTTTTGTCCTGAGCTCTGCCTATTTATGTTATGTCTGCTTCTTTGAACCCTTGTATCTTTCTCTATTTATATTCCAGACGTGTGTATGTGTGTTTATATTTGGGTAAAAATTATCATTTTTTTGAAATAAAAAAATCTATATTAACAAGGAACTACTGTATAGCACAGGGATCTATATTTAATTTCTTGTAATAACATATAATGGAAAAGAATCTGAAAAGAAAAAATACATAT